ATATATATATTGGCTCCAACTTCAAAAGATTACCATTATTATTATTATTATTTTAAAAAAGAGATAAAAAATCAACAAGAAAACCGCATTTCCACATTGACCAAATCTTGCTTCACTTATTATCAAAGAAGGAGAGACCTTTTGTGCAACAAGAATGAAAAGTGTTTTTTGGCTCTAACTACAAAAGGGCTACCATTATTACCATACATTATCATAGTCAAATATTTGAAGAAAGAAAAAGCTTAAACAAATTTCCATACGAATCTACATATATATGCATGTTCGTTTCTTCAACTTGAGTGCCAAGTCAGCGAGTGCTTTTGTGGATGAACCATGTTCTCCAACTACTCTCTGAGCAGCACTCTTAACCTCTTCCACACGTTCCCTAAAACTCTGTTCGGTAAGAAAGAAAGAAAATAGGAGGGAAAGGAAAACTATAATGCATAGAAAATTAGAAGGATAGAAAAGATTTTGATTTTCCCTTGACTTGTTTGGTATGATAGGGAAGAAAGAAAATGAATCTACATTCCCTTGTTTGATATTGGAAGTGAAACTAAAGGGATGGAAAAATTATTATTGGTGTAATTACTTTTTTGCCTAAATATTTTTTATTAATATTCTTTTCTAATAAAAGTATAAATAATACAGTATTCAACATCAAATTAACTCGAAAAATTCATGTAATTTGAACATATATTCCATCTATATTATACATACACATACATACATATATAAAGGTATAAAAAACATAATTTAACCATATGATTTCAAGTCTTCATTGTTGTACATTATCTTCAAGAGCAAGTCATTAACATACAACGTTGAAATTAAACAAACAAAAAAAAAAAAAAAAAAAAAAATGGACAAGCAAATTGTAAAAAAAAAAAAAAGAGAGAACAAAACAAGAAGAAGCAAGGCAGTGAGAGATTCATTAACATACACCATTGATATTTGGCAAATTTGGGAAAAAAAAAAAAAAAAAAAAGATGAGCAAATTGTAAAAAAAAAAAAAAAAAAAGAGAGATAGAGAGAGAGAACGAAACAAGAAGAAGCAAGGCAGTGAGAGATTCATTTTCCTTCCTAAAATCCTCTCACTTTTGGAGAGATTAAATATGGTGGGATCCACCCATTATATTTTCCTTTCAATTTTCTTTTCCTTCTTAATTTCCTTTCTACTAACAAGTTAATTTACCAATTTCTATCATAAAATCTCTCCAACATTTTCTTTCCTTCCATTTTTTATTCATAC